CCTTAAAGCCCTAATGGAAGTTTCACATGTAATCACACATCTTGAAGTCTGGATAAAATAACTAAGCCAAGAGGAATTTCGATTGCTCTTCTATGAGCATTTGAAAAACAGAGTCCATTAATACTTGCACAGATCAGCTTTTAGTCAGATCATAAAGACACTGACTAGTCAAGCATGGATCAAAGGTGGAGATCTGATTCAACAGGGTACTGTCCTCAGTTCACTGGAAATTGTTGTACTTTTGGCAACTACATTAAGGAACATGTTCTCAAAAGCAACGTAAGGAATATGCCTTACGCGTGAGAAACATCCTAATCAACAGTATTTTCCCAGCAAACAGAACTATGGTAGGTATCTGTACAAATAATGTTGGCACTTATTAAAAAGGAACAATACCCATCATTACATTTTCAGGATGCCTAATATAGGGAGAAGATGTACCTACAAAATGCCAAAAGCTATGATAGCAGCTTAACTTTTGTGATTTTGTGATTTATTTAGTCTTTATCACACTGCTATCCATTTTTAAGGTTCTTTCCTTGTTTATCTTATTAGTACATGTGTGTCATTCATGCAGTTTACAATCATCTTGAAGAGTGGTTACATGGACATACCACAGCTTGTTTGCTTTTTTATCCCCTTCCATTTTCTTCCCCCTCACCTCCTCCTCTGATTCCTCAGTCATCTTTTTCATACCTGTTGATTATTTGTCTTAGCACATGTTACGGCTTATAACATTTACACTGATGAGGGTTATTAGGTTCCTGTACATGGCACATCTTTCATTTCCCCTTCCCTCCTACCCCTCTCCTTGTTCCCTTGTAACATCTCCCTGTTGTGCAAAATTTGTCCCCTTGTCCCTTTCTATTCATCTTTTAAAATTTTCTTTGCACTTTGGCTCACTCAAATAAAGGATACCATATGGTATTCCAACTTTTGTGTCTGATTTACTTCACTCAACATTATGTTTTCAAGGTGCATCCATTTTCCTACGAATGCTTCAAATTTGTCATTCTTCATAGCCAAGTAGTATTCCATTATATATAGATACCACATTTTGTTTATCCAGTCATCTGTTAATGGGTATACAGGCTGCTTCCAGGATTTAGCTATTCTGAATTGTGCTGCTATAAAATCTGGTATACAAGTATCACTGTAGTATGATGACTTAAGCTCTTTGAAGAGGGAAGATGTCTAGCAGAGGGATAACTGGATCATGTGGTATTTCTAATTTCAGTCCTTTGAGAGATCTCTATACTGATTTCCATAATGGTTGTACTAGTTTGCGTTCCTACCAACAACATGGAAGAGTTTTCGCCACAACCATGCAAGCGTTTGTTACTGTTTGATTTCCTAATGATTACTATTCTTTCTGAAGTAAGATGGAATCTTAGCATTATTTTCATTTGCATTTCTCTAATGGCCAGAGATGTTTGACACTTTTTCACATATTTGTTGGCCATTTGTATTTCTTCCTCTGTGAAGTGTCTGTTAATTTCTCTAGCCCATTTCTTGCCTGGGTCTTTAATTTTAGGTGGTTTAATTTTTTTTGAGTTCTTTATGTATTCCAGATATTAGTCCTCTGTCTGATGAGTAGCTGGCAAATATTTTTTCCTGTTCTGCAGGTTGTCTCTTTACTGATTGAATCTCTTGCTGTACAGAAATGTTTTAGTCTGATATATCCCATTTTGCTAATTCTGCTGCTATTTCCCATGCGATTGAGGTTCTGTTTAGAAAAATCCTTTCCTACTCCTATGTCTTCAAGTGTTTTACCTATTTTGTCTTCCAGGAGAGTTAATGTTCCTTTTTTTCCCATTAAGTTTATTGGTACATTTTAGGCATACAATACAGTTACATTCATCATCAGGAACTTGTACCCTTACAGGATGTATCTTGGTTCTTATTTTTCCCCATTCCCCTGCTTAATGTTTAGATCTTTAATGCATTTTACTTTTAATTTAGTATATGGTGAGAGATAAGGGTTCAGTTTTACTCTTCTACAAGCAGATAAGCAGTTTTCCCAGTACCACTTGAATAGTCCATCTTTCCTTTGATGTATGTTTTTGGACCCTTTGTCAAAGATCAAATAGTTGAATACATTTGGAGAGGTCTGAAGACAATGATTATACAATTCAACCAAACCTTTGGGTCCCTTTGAAAGCAGTTGTAAGAGGAAAATTCATTGCAAATTAATGTTAACATTAGGAAAACAGAGCAAGCCCAAAGAAATAACCTTACAAGAAATCTTAAGATACCTGAGAAACAACAAACCCACCCCAAACTGAAACTAAGGACAGAAATTATAAAGATGAGAGCAGGAATTAATGAAATTGCAACTAAAAAAAAAGATAAAACAAATAAACAGAGCAAAGAGCTGGTTCTTGAAAAGAATAAATAAAATTGGCAAGAGTCATCAGGAGACAGAGAGAAAAGACTCACATAAATGCAATTAGAAATGACAAAGGTGGAATCATAACAGACACTGTTGAAATCCAAAAGATTGTAATAACTTTGAAAAATTATATTCCAACAAATTAGCAAATTTTTAAGAAATGGACAGATTCCTAGACACATACAAACTACCAACACTAACCCAAGAAGACATAAATATACTTAAAAATCCAATCACAAGCAATGAAATTGGCTCAGTAATAAAGAATCTACCAACTAATAAAAGCACAGGATCAGATGGATTCATGACTGACTTCTACAAAACCTTTAAGTATATTATAACACTAATACTCCTCAAGCTATTCAAAGAAATTGAAAGGGATGGAGTGCTTTAAAATTCATTTATGGAAACCACTATCACCCTGATCCCAAAACTGGATAAAGACTCAACTAAAAAAAAAAAAAACCAAAAAAACTATAGGCCAATCTCTTTAATGACCATAGATGCAAAATTCTTCAATAAGATATTAGCAAATAGAATGCAACATATTATCAAAAAGCTGACACACCATGATCAAGTAAGTCTCATCCCAGAGATATAAGGATGGTTCAACATACAAAAGTCTATTAATGTAATACATCATATAAACAGGAGCAAGGTCAAAAACCATATGACCATATCAATAGATCCAGAAAAGGCTTTCGACAAAATCCAACACCCTTTCATTATAAAAAAAAAAAACTTTCAAGAAAACAAGTATAGAAGGACCACACCTAAATATGATAAAATCTATCTATAACAAGCCAACTGCCAGTATCATACTAAAGGGGGAAAAACTAAAAGCATTCACCCTAAAATCAGAAACAAGACAAGGATGTCCACTATTACCTCTGCTATTCAACATAGTACTTGAAACATTAGCCAGAGCAATTGGGCAAAATAAAGACATAAAAGGGATACACATAGGAAAGGAAGAACTCCAATTATCATTATTTGTAGATGGCATGATACTCTCCATGGAAGACCCAAAAAACTTCACCAAAAAACTCTTAGAATTAATAAACAACTTCAGCAAAGTAGCAGGATACAAGATCAACATACAAAAATCACTAGCATTTGTGTATACCAACAATGAATGGGATGAGAAGGGAATTATGAAAACAACACCATTCACAGTTGCTTCAAGAAAAATAAAATACTTAGGAATTAACCTAAACAAAGAAGTGAAAGACCTCTACAAAGAAAACTACAGTACTCTGAAGAAGGAGACTGAAGGGAAAGATGTCCCTTGCTCCTGGATAGACAGAACCAATATTGTCCAAATGGCCATACTTCCAAAACTGCTATACAGATTCAATGTAGTCCCGATCAACATACTGAAAGCATACTTTTTAGATCTAGAGAAAACAATCCTAAAATTTATATGAAACCAGAGGAGACCCCAATAGCAAAAGTAATTTTCGGCAACAAGAGCAAAGTAGGTGGCATAGCAATATAAGACCTCAAGCTGTATTACAAAGCAATAGTGATAAAAATGCCATCATACTGGAATAAAAACAGACATGTGGGTCAATGATAACCCTTTTATATATATAAAGAAATGACATTCAGAGTGATTAAATAACTTGTTGAAGTTCATAGAGCTGAGCAGATAGGTCAGAAGATGAGTCAAGCTTTTTCTAAACCTAAAATCCTTTTTTTCATATCTCACGTTTGAATATAAGGACTGGAAGGTAGAGGAACACAAAGGTGGTTATCTAAGATTAAAACAGGCTGCCTTCTCTCAAATAAAGAACTTCTGAACCTAAAATTCTCTAAACATTTATCCCAAAAGGAGGCCAGTCTGCTCTACCCAATAGATTTTGGGAAACAAAATACGAAGCTGTGTATGGTGGGATGTACATGCCCATAATCCCAGCAGTCTGAGAGGCTGCGGCAGGAAGATCACAAGCTTGAGCCCAGCCTGGGCAACTTAATGACTTACTGAGACCCTGTATCAAGATAAAAAAATAAAGTCTTAGGGAGTAACTCAGTGGAAAGGCCTTGGGTTCTAATCCCCATTAACACACACACGCACATATACACACACACAATGCACACAAGATATGTGTATGGGCTCATCCATATGACCCATCAAGACAAAAGAAACACATAATTTGAGGGTTCCATCTGAGTCAGTGAAATGTATGTTAAAAACATCTCACCTCCTTGGTATAGTGATGGTGACCTGCTGGGAAGCTGTCTTTATCCCAGCACACTGTCGTTTCTTTGGTTCTCACAGAAGATATCTTGTATTCTCTACATTTTATCAGATCCTTTCCTCACTACTGCTTCCCTTTCCATCTTGTCAGCAGTTTGAGGAAGGAAAAACCCTTAGAGCCAAAAGTGAGTGGTTTGGGAACTGCTGAAATTTGCAGCCATAGCTAAACTCGATAACTTGATGTTAACTGATCATTGTATCTCTGGTGCATACATATTTCTGGTATGCAGTAGCTGCCAGGCATGGGGTTACTAGATGGCCTAGGCCATATGAGAATAGCCCCCCAGGTCTGAGCTTAGGACAATAAAGATTCTTTCCACCCACTAGCATTTGGGGTATCACGCTTACCTCTGCTTTTTTCTGCTTTTCTTCTTGCTCTCTCTGTTCCTTCTCCATACCAACCAGCTTGAGCTTCAGCTCAGACACTTCAGTCATTAGATCGAGCTTCTGGGTTTCAAGAGATGTTCGACTTAGCAGCTCCTGCAAGCAAAAACAGATTTCAAAATCACAAACCTCCATAGAAACAAGGGCAGCTATAGCTCCACCTATAGCACATAAGGCCATATCTAAGGTTGTGTTTGCATGACATAGAACTGAGACTGCTGCACATGTGCCACCAGTCTATTAGAGATGGACTTGGGTTGACGCTGGGTCACTTGGGAATAACACAGCCCTTGACATCACCCAATGTGATTTGAAAAACAACATAACCTACATTTTTCAAAACCATGTTTCCCTATAGAAACCATTTTTAATTATTTCCAAAGAGAGAAAAATAGATGAATACCCTTTCAAAAAACCAACATTCTTTCTCCAGCTCTATTTTTAAGGCAAAGCAGCAGGTCTTCTCTACCAGAACAAACAAAAACTTGTGTTAACAATATATTTCTTAAAACCAAAACTTCTAGATCACATCTTGGGCAAAATCAGTGCTCAGCCCAGTCTTTAGCACTATAATTCACCTCATTACAGTGAATGGCAGTCAGGACACATAGTGGGTATTCAATGAGTATTTATTGGGTTGATTATATGAGTCTTAGTATGTGAGCTGGCTCTTTTCTGAGCTGTAAAAAAACTACAATTTGGCCCTGTGGGATGGAATTGGAAAGGGTGTTCTTTCCTGATTGTGGAACAAGACCAAGGAGGCTATTACTAGTCCTGCCATCATTACAACATTGGCTGGCTACAACCTGATACTTCATTCAGGTCCTTGACACCAAATTGATCACAAATATATATACTTATTAAACACAAGCAAGAGAATTATAAAAGATCCCCAAACCCAGAAGCATTTCCCAAAGTGCAGGGCAATATATTTTTCCATTAGTAAATGCCAATGTAATGTGATGGACAAAAACCCATAACAAGGAAAATGTACATGGCAGCAAGGACAACAAGACCAAAGGAGCAGATGGAAAGGGCACAATATCCTGAACATTTTGTACCATCTTGGGCAATACAACCTTGGTATTGGAATAGTGATCTCAACATTATGACTCAATAGCTCTAATTTCATTAATTTAGAATTGTCCTCAGATGAATCAAACCACAAAGGACAGAGAGTTTGATTTACAATACATGATTCTCCAGGCCAAAGGTAATCAGTATCTGGGAAAACTGAGCCACAAACTTGTATAGGTTAATCTGAAAGGATAAGTATCTAGAACTTCAGCAGCTTGGCAGAGGGAGGTTCCTGAAGCTGGGTGGAGGAGGATGGCCCTTCCTGGCCCAGCCAGGCTAGAAGCTGGATGATAGGGCAGAGGCAGCAGCACCATACTGCCAGGACTGTGGGCTACTTGGCCATAAGGAGTCAGGCAAATGAACATGTCCAATATAATGGAAAACTTGGATTTGTTGATTGTCTCCTCGGCTCTAGACACTGCTGGGTGCTTGTAGATATATCACTTTCTTAATAAACCCTCCCAGGGATTTGGCAGTAATATTAGAGTCCTGATTCTACAGATGAGGAAACAGGCCTAGAGAGGCTAAACAGATCTTTTAGCCAAGGACTAATGCTAATCATGAACAGAGTTAGTTTTCAAATCAAGATGTTTGACTCCAGAACTCATTTCTGCCTAAAGTATTATACTGTTTCCCAAATGAGAAAAATCTTCCGAGAATTTTAAAGGGAACATTTTTTAAATACATCTTTTAAAAAAAGTAAGAAATAGTCACTGAGCCTAGAAAATGTCTTTTCAGATGAGGGCTTAGTTCATCCCTAGGGGTTGGAGCTCATAGAAATGATCAGTTCTCTTGGTCTTAAGTATTTAAAAACTTAAGATACAACCTGCAACCCAATACAATCTATTTTAGCCTCTTCTACATTCTCTGTCCTTTTCCTCTCCTTCCAACCTCATTCTCTGTATTTCCCCATCCCTTTACTTACCTGCCTTGTTCCAAAAATTATTTAAGCCAGTTTGCAAAATATGTATTTCCAGTTAAAAAATAAATCACAAAAATTAAAGCAGGTAGGAAAAGAAGTTGAAGTCAGAATTACAATTAGTAGAAAAACCATACCATAATGTATTAAGAACAGCTAGAAATGAACTACAATGTACATGAGAGCTTCCTAACTGTCAATGTAAAAAGGGAAAGGAACAATTGCACAAACCAAGATCCACAAAAACTACTGAGTTCTAAGAAAAAAAAATTCCTCTATGAATTTCATTCATGTATGTTCCAGCACCAAGAGATGTGACCAGTAAAAACACAGCCCCTGTTGACAACTTGAGTGTCTTAGGATGATACTCATGCAATTTACAGCTTAGCATTCAAGATACTGTTTGGTGGAATTTAGGAAATCCTCAGCATGTGTCTCTCTTGAAAACTAAGAGTCAACTCTACTTCCACTATTGCCAAAAATCTCTCTTACTGTTTTAACTACTAGGTTGTAACTAGTCATTCCAATGTTCCAAGTGATGAGGATAATATTGTAATTGGTTCCAATAGCTATTTCCATTAGTCATGCCAGTGCTTAAATTGGTCACGCTAACAGTCCAAGTGGATATTCCAGTCAGACACACTAAAGTTTTAATTACAAATCTGAGCTTGATTAATTTATTATAGTTCACTAATCATACAGCTTTTACTTACTCTCTCCCAGCTTATGTCTATTAGCATGTGCTTCTACCATTCATGATCATCTCCCCCGTCCTTGTCATTAACAATTACTATTCTAGTCATGAACTCAAGAATCAGCCTTCAAAAGCTTACTTAAATCCAGCTCTACTTCCCAATCACCAGACCCAGCAAGGCTCCTAGACACTACTACATACTAGAATTTCTAAAATGCATAACTTAATAGAAACTAAATATCCTACATCCTCAATTGCTCCTTCTACTTCCAGCATAAACAAACTCCTGGATTCTACATAATATAACCCATTCTTTCCAGTCATTTAAAGTGGGGAACACTTTGCTCCCAACAACACAACTTGCAGAATACCTCTCTCCCATCTTCACAACAGCTTTCTGACCACTATTTGTCTCCACCAATCATCCATGTCCACCCTCCACTGGCTCTAAGACAGCCAAGTGCTATTCAGTTAAATCACAATCTCCCCAAATATTTAGAACAAGACAGTCTCCCACTTCCCTCAAGGTATCTGTCTTTTGATCAATGGCTTTTCTACGTACTTTAGGTGCTTTCCGTCTCCTCAGGAGCTTCAACATCTTTGTTAATGACTTCACAGTTCAGTATCCACCCATTAACTATTCCGCTTTACGTTGACTTCAGTTCCCACAGGCTTTGCTTCTACTTCCTTTCAGCTTCTCAGCGGCACAGCCACAACTCAGCTCTTTATCTTTACCCAAAATATGTTTGTTCTGTTCTGAGATCTTCAGCTCTGAAATTCTTTCCTCTGGCCACAACCTTCTGACCTTGGAACTGCCCTACTTGCTCACTCAACCTCAAATTTCTTCTTCTGAGGTCTCTGGTTACTTAATAACTACCTGTTCTCCTGGTTTATCACCTTTCTTAAGCAGTATCTGCCTCACTATCTCCCCATACCTTGAGGTTAGTCATTTCAATTGTATTCCTATCTACGCCAAAAAAGTATTCATCATCCACCTCACCCAGCCCCCAGATCCGATCAGCATTTGTCTAAACAGCCCAGTTCAGACAAATCTCATAGTCTTTTGTTTAGGTTTCTTCTCCCCATGGCCTGAGAATTGCTAGTGTGACATCTAATGATGACAATTGATTTCAACACAAATTTACACTATCTGATTATAAACTGATCTTCCAATCCTGCCCTGCAAAACTTGTATTCATCACTGGCTGATTCCGTTCGGGGATTGCTCCAAATCTTTTTTATTCTCCTCAAGCCCTCTACCCCACAATGGCCTCATTTTCTGCTCAAATAACTTCTCATATTTACTGAAAAGATAAAAACCAATAGCTCATTTATTGAACTTAAATTCTATTTCAAAGTCTTCCAGAATCATCTCATTCATATCTCTTAAATCTCTGTCTTAGAGAAAGCAAGCGCACAGTCCCTTCCCAAGGCTAACCTGTCACTTTGCACATTGCCATCATCTGTTTAATTTTTTCACTTTTAAAAACTGTTTCCTAGCCCAGCAAGCTTCCAAAATGCACATATAAATCACACAACAAAGGATACATGCTTCCAGAACTTGTTCCTAAATTCCCCCAATTGACTGACATTCCTGTTTCTGGCTATTTCTGTCTCTGGACTCTTCAAGCATCCTCACACAACTTGATGAATCCTAAAGTTACCTTCATGGGTAAGCAGTGGCCTTTGGCTTTGTCCTCTGAATTCTGATCCTGTTTCTCCCTTAGCTGGTAACTCAGAAGGACTCCCCTGCACAGAGCCCTAGCCTTCTCCTCACCTCTGTACCGCCTTTGAGGAAATTCCCACCCAGTTCTGTGTTAGTTCAGGGTAGGTCCATCAATCATGTGTTCTGACAGGTATTTAATCTCTCCCTTACCATCAGCTCCCATTCCTCAGGCTAAAAACATAATCAAATTTCTGACATTCTAAAGAGACTTCTTTCTTGACCTTGCCTGCCCTTCAAGTTACCACCATCAACTCCCATGTCCTCTGTTGGCAAGTGCATGCTGTGTGTGTGTGTGTGTGTGTGTGTGTGTGTGTGTGTGTGTGTATAAGTGCTGTCTCTTTTTGTCCCTTCTCTCTCGCTTCACAGTCAATCTCTTACAGGAATAATCTACCCATAGTGCCTCTTCTTCCTGTTACTCCTCAACAAGGTATCTGCCTGCCTGCAACCTAGCTTCTGCCTCCACCAAGTAAGGCACAAAAATAGCTTCTGGGAGTCAATGTCCAAACTTTCAGATGCAACTTATACTTCTCCTCTGTTAATCAACTCTATTTCATTGACTTAGTGTAAACTACTCCTTCTTCTGTATCTTCCCTGGTTCAGGTATTCCTGACGTTTCTTTTTTCCTTTCCATCTCCTTTGCTATGCATTTATTCTTTCTACCCTTTAAAGAAAACATTCAT